TAAATTTTTGTATTGCGCCACTTTACTAAATTCATTTATTAGTTACAATATTTTTTAGGGTTCTGTTGTATCATGTCCTCTGCAAATAATGACAATTTCAGGTCTCTTGTCCAATTCAGATGCCTTTTATTTCTTTTTCTTTTCTGATTGCTGTTGCTAGAACTTCCAATTATTATGATGACTAAAAGCAGTGAAAGTGGACATCATTGTTTTATTCTTGATCTTATAGAAAAAATTTTCAGGTTTTCACCACTGAGTATGTTGGCGCTAGGTTTGTCATCAATGGCTTTTATTATGTTGAGGTATATATTTCCTCTCTCTCCACTTTACTGAGAGTTTTTATCATAATCAAATGCTGGTGCGGATTTTGTCACATGCTTTTTCCTCTTTTATTGATATGATCATATGATTTTTATCCTTCATTTTGTATATACGGTGTATCAAGTTAATCGATTTGTGGATATTAAAGCAGTCTTGCACCCCAGAAATAAATACCACTTGATTATGATGTAAGATCTTTTTGAAGGTATTGCTGAATTCTCCTTGCTTATATTTGATTGAGGATATTTGTGTTTATGTTCATCAGGGAAACTGGCCTATAATTTTCTTCCTTTGTAATGTCTTTGTCTGCTTTTGGAATCAGGGCAATGAAAGCCTTGTAAAATGAGTATGGGAGACTTTCATCCAATTGTTTCAAAGAGTTTGAGAATAGCATGTATTAATTCTTCCTTGAATGTTTGATAAAATTTACCTGTGAAGTCATCTGGTCTAGGACTTTTGTTTGTTGTTGGGAGTTTTTTGATTACTGATGAATTTAGTAGTGATCAGTCTGTTTTGATTTTCTGTTTATTTTTGATTCAGTGTTGGAAGAGTATGTGTTTCTGGAAATTTATCCATTTCTTCCAAGTTGTCCAATTTTTTTGGCATATGTAGTATTTCCTGATAATCTTGTGTGGGACTCTATGCTTCCTGGACTTGTATGTCCATTTTTTTCACCAGGTTAGGGATGTTTTTAGTTATTATTTCTTCAAATAGGGTTTCAATCTCTTGCTTTCTCTCTTCTACTTCTGGTACCCCATAGGATGAAAATGTTGGTATGCTTGATGCTGTCCCAGAGGCCCCTTAAACTATCCTCGTTTTTTAAAATCCATTTTTATTTTTAGTTTCCTGGTCAGGTGTTTATGGTACCTTGTCTTCCAGGTTATTGAGCTGATCCTCTGCTTCATCTAATCTGTTCATCGCCTCTAATGTATTCTTCCTTGCAGTTATTGTATTTTTCATTTCTGACAAGTTATTTTTTGTGGTTTCTATCTCTTTGTGTAAGTTATCACTGAGTTCATCTTTCCTCCCCTAAGTTCATCGAGCATCCTTATAACCAGTGCTTTGAACTCTGTATCTGGTAGATTGCCTCCATTTCATTTAGTTATTTTTCTTGAGTTGTGTCCTGTTCTTTCATTTTAGACAAGTTTCTTTGTCTCCTCATTTTGGCAGCCCTCATCTGTTTGTTTCTACATACTCTGTAGATCAGTTTCTTCTAGTCTTGGCAGGGTAGCCTTATGAAATAGGTGTCCCATGAGGCCTGGTGGCACAGTCTCCTGATTACCTTTGTTTGGGTTGTGTAGCCTCCTGGTATAGTTGTCTTAATTGCTGTTGGCACAGCAGTGGGTGGGATTGACCCTCAGACTGAATGGCTGCAAGGACTGGCCGTGACTACACTGGATGAGTTGTGTGGGGGCTGACTCCACAGAGAGTGCTTTAGTGGGGCTCCAGTGCCTGCCATGCCTGCCCTTTGGAAATGTCTTTTGAGACGCTGACTGAATGTTGCTGTGGTATGGCTTGAAGCTGGCCACTGGGTATGTTAGTGGTTCTGGGGCTTTCTGGGTGAGGTTTTGGTATAGACCAACTTCAGTGCCTGTGCCTGGCCTAAGGCCATGCTGGGAATGAAGGCTGGCTGCCACTAGTGCTGGGTTTGGGGCTGCTTAGCAAGAAGAAGAGGGCAAGCTGTGGCTAGCTGCTGCTTCTTTGTGGTTCGTGGACCCTTGAAAAATTTTAGGAAAGTCTGCAGTGTGATCTGCTGGCTGCTTTTGTAGAAAAGCCACTGAAAGAGGTTCAATCCAGGTGTGCAAGTTGAGTGGGGCGGAATCCCATGGAATCACCAGAGTAGGGCAAACAGGGTTATCTGAGTTATTGGAGTTCAGATTTGGTATCCAGCTGTGCCTGGGTTGCGGGGGAGGGCTCAACATCATCTGCCAGCACTTCCATCCCCAGATAGAGCTGCCCTAAACCCTCTAGCCCTTGCTCTAAAGCTAATCAATCTGTTTCTTCCCTGTATGTTCCTGATGCTTTTTGAGCTACTGCCCCTGCACTGGAGCTCAGACCAACTGAGTTTATGAGCTAGTGAAGCTGTGATTAGGTCCATTGAGATCTGTAGCACCTAGGTCTCTAGCAGCCCGTTATTTTTTTTTGACACAATCCCCACTGTTTTTCACAGCCAGATGTTATGAGGACTTTTTGCTCCTTAGGGCAGACCTCCTCAGCTGAGATACTCCTCCTGATTCTTAGTCAACACACTGTGAGTGTGGGATCTGCCCCTTCTGCATCTCCACCCCTCCTACCAGTCTTGATGTGGCTTCTTCTTTATATTCTTAGTTATAAACAATTCAGTTTAGCTAGTCTCCAGGTGATTCTCCATGATGGCTATTCAATAGTTTAGTTGTAATTGTGATGTGGTCATGGGAGGAGACAAGCACTATGCTTACCTGCTCTGCCATCTTGAGCAGAAGTTCAATACTTTCTTTCTTTAACTGACCTGAAACTGGACTCATCACAAAGTATTGCTCCTTTTCCAATACTGCCCACAATCCTGACACTCCACTTTACCAGAGTGCCATTGGCATAATTTAGCCCATCTTAAGGAAAGTAGTTAAAGCATCACAAACCTTGAAATGACTGGCACCAAGTGCTATGGGTGAAAATTTCAAGTCACAGTGGGTCTCCTAGGTCAATCACTTAAAAAAAAATCTTCCTCTGTTTTCAGGTTACGAACTTAGGGAAATTCTGGTCTTAATTCAGATATAGGGGAACCCTGGTTTCCAGTAAGGGTAAAGGGCCCTTGCTGGTAATTAAGAAGTGATACTTACATGGTCCTGGGGATGCCATCACCCAGTCCTCTCACCCCAATGTTGTTTGGTGAGAATTGGCTCTGGTCAGGAAAACCTTGGACACAGAGCCTGAGTGGGTCTGGCCTGCCCCTGCCATACCCGTCATACATCAGAAAAGCTATGAAGATGCAAAGTCACCTAAGACGCCCCATGGAAACGAGACCATAAATGGTGTTTTATCAGTGCCATTGCGTGCCCAGTTCTTTCTGAAGTCTCTCAGAGATTCCTAACTGTTGTGGAATAACCATACGAGGTCAGTGATATTATCCTCATTTTTACAGATGAGGGGAGTGAGGCCCATAGAAATTCAAACGTGCCCAAGTCCGGAGCCCAGATATGAACAGCAGCATTCTGACTCCTGAATCCACATTCTCCCAACCACAGCTCTATTCTGCCTCTTGTCAATTTCTACAAGAGGAGCCATTCAAAGGAAGAGAAAGAATAAACCCAGGGGAATAGCCTTGTCAGGTAAGACTCTTCCAAATACATACGTATTTTCTTTATTTTCATAACAACCAAAGATGTGTAGAACGACAACAGTCCAAAATAATTTCTTTCTACATCATTGATATGTATTTTCTGCATAAAATTTAGGCACAAAGTTTATGGGCCCCTCACTATGAATTATAACGAGAGCCACAGTTCACAAAATGTTGGAGTTAGAATAATTTAGTCATTCATGTTATGGATGGGGACACTGGAGGCAGAGAAACGAGGGATCTAGGCGTTTGCCAAGTTGTCAGGGGCCATGGAATAGTCAGGGGTTCCCAAACCTGCTGTACCTTAGAAACATTTGAGAAACTTCTAAATATATTCATGTTCAGACTACACCCCCAAGGCCAATATAATCTCAATCTTTGCAGACGGTGTGGCATCCTGGCATTTTGTTTGAGAACCACTGGTGCAAAGAAAGAAAAATGGACCTAAATTACTTGGTTCTGTCATTAATTCCTATTCTCATGAGCTTTAATGAAGATGCGGCTACCATTTGATTGTTATTTACACATCAAAATTTTAAACAATCCAAATAGTGGCAATAACCGGTGGAATCTCCACATGAATTTATATTTATGCTCTTATTAAAAATGAAGTTTCTAAAGAGTGTGTGAAACATAGGATTATGTTTGTATCCAATGCTTAGTGCAAAAAGGACACAAAATTCCATGTATATATGGCAAAAGATGGGAAAGAAATACATCCAAAACTAACTGGAAAGGGCTATATATTGTATGATTCCAAATATATGACATTCTGAAAATAACAAATCTATAGAGGAGTAAAAAAAATGCGTGGATTTCAGAGATTGGGAGGAGCAAAGGATGATGGGGGGCACAGAGGATTTTTAGGGCAGTGAAACCATCCTGTGTGATACTAAAATGGTAGCTGTACATCATGTTACATTTGTCTAAGCCTATAGAACATACAACACCTAGGGTGAACCCTAATGTAAACTATGGCCTTTGGGTGATAATGGTGTGTCAACGTACGTTCACTGATTGCAACAAATGCACCACTTCGGTGTGGATATTGGCAATAGGGAGGCTGTGCTTGTGCCTAAGTTCAGGGGATCTATGGGAACTCTGTTATTTTCTGTTCAATTTTGCTGCATCTTCCAGTGGGACTACAGGTGATTTATTCCTTCTTTCAATTAAAAATATCCCAAAACCAAAAAACAAACCCACTGAAGGCATAAGTTCAGGATGAATGAATGCCAACGACACATCAGGTACGGCCTGAGTCATGCCTGATAGTTTCTTTTTTAAGTGAAAATATATTATTAGGCCTAAAGTAGAGAGATCACACTTTGCTTAGAAGATGAAAATGAACAGTTGTACTCACCATCTTTGCAGATGGCTCCCATTTGACACATTCCTAAGTCTAGGAGATACCCACTGGGGCAGCTTGTACAGTTCTTAAACCCTGGACCATTGCACGTCAAACAGCTGGTGTCACATCTATGGGGGAAATGAAGAATTTATCACCCCTTTACACATCAGGCACAGGAAAAGACGTGTTTATTATCAACCTCCTAACGTCTTAAGCTTAAATCTCTGAAGTTGATACAAAAATCTTTTCTTAAAATAACTCCTAGGTTTGGCAACGTTAAAGAAAACCTACCTAGCAGGTAGACAGTGTGATTTGAAAAGTTTTAAAGTACTCTGAAGCAAAAGTAAATAAATACACACACACAAACATATCAAAGATAAACTGGGTTAAAGCTGCAGGACAGTTTCTGTAGGTAAATGTTTGAACCTTATTTTATCAATAATTTTAAGTTTCAGTATTTATGAAGGCAGTCAAATAAGGAACCCGGTAACCAAATGCTAGGGCTTGAGGGGCATATCCACTCACTTTTTGCAGGATTTGTATCCGTTCTCTGAAGAGTGGTCAAAGTAATGGCTGATGCTACAGCTGTGCACACATCTCCCATCCTCCATGAAGTAGCCCTCTGTGCAGTTAATGCACCCATCAGCGCCTGCCCCTTCAAAGCAAGACAAACGCAGGAAACAGAAACAAAACCTCAGAAGTGGCATGATGGGCTGCTTCTCATAGTTTGTGAAAATGACATTAATATGTTTGTAATTTTAAGAGTTATAATATGTGTTTTTTCTTGCATTCTTTGGAAAAAATACCTCCCCCCATTTTAAATCGAACCCACTTTCCAAAAGCATAAAATCTTTTGGAGAGAGAAGGAAATATCACTGGGGTATTTAAATTTCTCAGTGAGGATAGGATGCTGAGGACTGACTTCCGATGAGAATACGTGCATGATTATTAGAAGAGAAATGAGAGTTCTCCAGCAGCTACTTTAAAAATATCAAGTGAGTTTCCATGAGTGGTGGCTAAAAATGATCAACAGAAGCTAAACCAGAGCCAGAGGAATAAAGGGAGAGACTGGGGGAGAAGCTACCAGCACAAGTGGCGCAGAAGCGGTGACAGGGCTGACAGTCCTGGCCGTTGAAGTACTGTCCGTCCTCACAGGCGATGGAACACCGGGACCCCTGCAGGCTGAAGACACAGGCACAGACCGCTGTGATCAGGCCAAGAGGTACTGACTCCCCAGCTCTGTCTGTAACAAGTATCGTTCCCCCCAGAGACCTGTGGATTTGGCGAAGCTTCAAAGCAGGGGAAGTAGCCCTTATACCTTCTGTTGTTTGCTGCTTGATGCTACAGCGCTTCTCCGTGCATTACTCTAATGATGTTGGCATCATATGCATGTGCTGCAAGCTTTAGGGACGTTCCTCTGAATTGTCTGACTGGTTGACACACCTTACAACCCAGAGGTTTTAAAAAGTATTGTATTCACAAAATAATCGCATTGCCTAATACGCCTAACAATTCCCTGATATCCAGACCTACTACATAATACATTTAAAAGATGTTTCATAATTAAAAATGCAGTAAGAACACACAGTAAAAGAATTACAACTGAATAAGAGGGCACAGTCATCCTTGCATAAACTCTCAGGAGCAGCTTTTTTAAGTTTTTCTGATTTTAGTTCTCGGTGGTCCCTACAACAGAATTTTTATATATATATTTTTGCCTCTATTTCTGGATTTATTTTAAACCTTAATGAATAATTTAGCACAATTACCTACTTACTCTGCTGCTTCCTCAAACATCTCAACTTTTCTTAGTTATATTACTATTTAGTGTTTCTAGACGTAATCTGTACCATAGTTTTTCCACTCTCCTAGTCTAGAGATGGCTTCTTAAAATTTAAAATAAATTAATAGAATTTTCACTATTTCATATACAAATATTACTCGCTTAACTAAATAGTATGCCTGGAACCAGGGAGAAAGACTTGTAATCCTAGGTCATCAAACAGATGGTACTAGAAGATGGGTTCTCTTTTCTTAAGCTCTATATATTGTTCCACTTTGCATCTTAAGTGACTTTGCCTTAAATATGGGTCATACTGATTTTACAAAGCAAAACTTCTATCAGTAAACAAAATCAAAGTAGATGAAAAGAATCCCAAACAGACCAGTTAACATTTTAACCCATTTCGTTCCAGTATTTAATGCAGAGATATTTTTCCATGTTTGTTCTTAGCCATTATTGAAAAATCGATAGGTCTTCAGGCAAAATGGTCAACGTAGAGGTCCCTAAGGAAAACACAGGGAGCCACAATGACACCGAGGGAGCCTAACTGAGTGTTCTTCATTCATAGACATCCTTGCTTGCCAGAGAGCACTGCCATTAGGGAAAAACAAACTTCTTTCCTTTCCGTAGAGCTGGAGAAAAGGACACTGCATCAAGTGGATCTCTTTGTGAGAGGACATAGGACCACCAAAAAACTGACCAAAGTTTTTAAAAAGCTGCCTAGTTTTTCTAATACAGGACATTACTGCTGAAATTGGCATGTATCCAGCAAGAGACAGAAGCTGCACTGTGTTCTTTCTGTGATAAACCAGCTGGGTTAGACCTGCGCTGTCCTGCCTGCTCGAGCACTTGTGGCTTCCAGTTTGGCTAAGGAATGGAATTTTAAGTTCTAAATTTTAATTAATTTCAGTCTAAGTTTTACAAACTGGCACTTATTTTAGTTATTGGCAAAATTCTGAGTAAGTTTGCAATGACTTGGCTACTTCAACTAAATTTTATAAAATCTCAATACAGATCAAAAAATAATTGTCTGAATTGAGATGTGGTTTAGCGGTAAATACATACCAGATTTCCAAGACTTGGTACAACAACAAAAGAATGTAAAATATCTCACCAAGAGTCTTTTATATGAATTACATGTTGAAATGATAATATTTTATTGGAATAAATGTCATCTGTACCTTCTTATAATCTTTTGATGTGGCTACTGGCATACTTAAAATGAACATATGTGGCTCTCATTTCTATCGGAGAGCCCTGGTTAACTTATTTTATAAAATGTTCCCTAAGAAATATAGAAAATAATCTTAAGTAATCTTTTATTTCTCATGGACCAGTTCTGTGTCAGATACTGGACTAAGTGCTTTATAAATGTTATCATGGTTAATCATAATCCAGAACGTAGGGGTTATCACCATTTTCTAGATGAGAAAATTGAAACTCAGCAGCTCAGTGATTTGACCAACATCACACAATAGACAGTAGAGGCGGATTTGAGTCCATATCTGACTCTTTTCTTTTTATTATACCAATCTGCTCCTTCTCCAAAAAGAATTAGGCTGACTAGACTGATATTTGTCAAGACTCTCTTGAGATGAAAGGTGCTAAGCAAACTAACACTGAATGCATTTATGAAAAATGAAGCCACAGATAATTAATAAACCTAAATAAAAATGATGCAATATTACTAATGTGAAGAATTACTTGCCAGGACCCTGCTTATTTCATCTCTAATCAACGGTGGAAATAGAGGTACCATCAACACTTAAAAGGGTTTGAGTGCAGCAGAATTCTAGTACTATGTAAACCTAGAACCCAACTCCTCACTCAATGTAGGCTGATTTGACCTTCTCTAATCAAGAGAGATTACATCATTCTTTTGAGCTGCATGTTTTTCTCTTACAGAATCCATCAACTATGTTAAGTCCTCACTTAATGCCATCAATAGGTTCTGTGACTTTAAATAAAACAATGTATAAGAAAACCAATTTTATCATAGGCTAATTGATACAAATAAGAGTTATTGGAGCACCTGCTGTACCTGGCTTTAGCCACCAGCAAGTCATCCATTCAGGGAAAACATCTCTAGGTGTTAAATCTATGTGCAGACAGTAACATAATGGAACCAAGCCTGAGGTTCTTAAGATAAATGATTGGCTCTATGGAGAGAAATAATAAAGATCAGGGAAGAGTTTCTGACCATCAAAGGGATGAATCAGGGGGATTAAAGATAACTCATTGGTATTACCTACACAGCAATTGTTGACTGGTGCACTGCCAGTTAAAAAGCATGAAGAAAGCCTCTCAAATGGCCATTTTTATTTACTTGTGTCTGAGCCATCTTTTCCAAAGAGAATTTTATTCGGTTTATAAACCTTCCTTAGCCAAGACGGCATCCAGTTTTTCACATACAATGGTAGAGATAATGCAAATAGCAATCAAGTGTTTGAATGAGAGTCAAACCAAGGGTGATAGTGAGAGGGTTATTTCTATGGAGCAGCTGCCCGGGCCGCGTTACTCACGCAGTCCTTCACTGTCTTACCTTAACCCATCCCTGCATTCTGTACAGTTGTGGGATTCAGTACACGTCTTGCAGTTTTCACTGCATTTCCGACAAAGATTTTTCTCTGTTAAAAAAAAAGTAACAAGGTTATAAATCAGTTGGTCAGTTGAATTCCACAAAAGTTTGTGAAGATATTCCAGTGTTTGCTAATAGTGTATGCTATAGTACACATGGCTGTGAGAGAAAACTGCAGGAAAAGCCCCACAGTCAACATTTGCTATCACTTCTCAGCAAACCAAATACAGGCAGGAACTGCAGCATTGGCAAATACCTTAGTGCTACCTTACCATTTTTTTCAGACAAGAGAACTACAGCCCCCTTAATTCTTAGTTGAATAGTTTATTAGCCTTTTCCCTCCTCTTCCCATTCTCTCTCCTAAGCAGGGTTTCCTAACTTCCAACAACGAAAATCCCACCACAAAGCTGGGCAATGCCACTGTGCCAGGGTTGAGAAGCACTGCCCGTGGCTGTGGAGAGGAATGACAGACCCCCCGTGCTCACAGCTCTGAGGGCTACCCTGAGGAACTCCACTGCAGAAGGAAACCCGTATTTAAGAATGAAAGGTAAGGATTATTTCTTGCATTGTCTACAATAGTATCTTGTACTAACTTTACAGTGGCTGTGAAATTGCTATAAACATTATTTTACAGCAATGTCTGTATTCTGGAGATAGCAGTGTATTTGACTGAACAAATATATTGTGAATTCTGGCTTTCCTGTTTAATACCACACACAGGTCCTCATTAGGAAGAAAAATGGTGATTTGTTAAGTAAGGCCTTTTGCCTTAGGTGAAGTTTTTCTGGAAAGTTGATACCTTCTCTAAGATATAAGTATATTATAACCACATGTATGTGTAGAATTGAATGTTCATAGGCTTCCCCTCCTCTATCTACACTCGAGATGTTGGTGTCCTTCAGGTTCCACAGAGCGACACTGCTTTCGTGATCCCTACAAGGACCTCCTGGAGGTCCATCTTCTTTCTCAAGTCTGAGCCCCTCGACAGGAAATATGAAGTCCTTTACAACCTCCTGGCAGTTACCACATGCCCTGCCCCACCCTGCACCGTGTCACCAAGAATACCGGACACGGCACGGGACCTAGACTTGTGCTCTGCTTTTAGCATTTCCTGTGGGCAAGTTCAGGGCACTCTTTTTCCACTTATGAAGTGTTAAATACACACTAGAATGATGCCTACCTCTCAGCTCGTCTTGAGGACTTAATGGAATTATTCAAGGGACCTGTATGACATTTAAAGCACTGTCACTGTGCTAACAGTAATTATTAGGAGTCATGATCACACGTGATCACTAAGTTGTATGTTAAGTGGGCACATCGAAAGAGGAAACTATAACAAAAGGCAGTTACATAGGAGAGATGCACAGACCACTCTTATCAGTGAAGTAATTGAACAGTTGTCCCTAATTATCCTCCTGCCAGGTTCTGAAAGAACTGGCTCATCTTGATGATGTCATACACCATCTCTAGAACAAAATTTCTTTTTCAAGGTTCAGCCTCCTTAGTAGAATTTTGATGTTTTTTCCCCTCCAAGGAATGCCGCTTTCTTCTGTGGCTCTCTAATTCCCCCTACCCACGCCCACTTTCTCCTCTCCATCAAGTTATAGCTCATGTTCTAAAGTTTGGGAAAAATAAGAACTACAAGGGAACCCCCCTTCCCCCCGCTTTGCTCCAAATGTTAAGCTCTCTCAGCTTAACCCCATCTACCACATAGAGAAACATCTGTCTTTGGATCAAGAGACTTTGATTAGTTAAAAAGCAAGAGTATTCACTTCAGAATCTGTGCCTGATTTTTAAAAACACAACTCTTGTGCCTTCCCAGTTGGGTTTTCTTCTCTCTTAGGTTGTGCAGGAACCTGAAATTTCGGTGTCATGACACACCATAGTGTGATACTCTTGTTCAGAAATAAAGCCAAAGACCTTTTCAGGGCCATACCAGAGCACTAACAGATAAGCGTGCCCAGGGATGATTTAGTTTTCTAGAGAACGTCCTTTTGTGTTTTTATTAATGATGGTTAATTAGTCTCCAAACTCTGTGAAGTACATGTTAATTTATAGATTTTTCCTTGGTAAACTTGCAAAAGCTATCTGTCCATTTGAAAAAAGAACCCCAAAATTTTAGAATTGATTGCCATGCTGGATATTATCTAACTCAGCAAATGTATTTAATTTTGTCTTCCTCAGTGGACTATAATACCTGATAGTCCCTGAACCCATTTGCTACCTTCCAGGTTCCCTCATTAGTAGGTTAAGTAAGTCTATGGCATGCATCCATTCTACATTTTTGTGAAGGTCATGTTTTTTAACCTCTTCAAAAAGTATACTTTGAGATCACAGCGGCCTGGTTGCTGTCTTCTGAAAGCCTGCTTATAATGTTGGGAACTTGGATTTCAGGAGGGTCTCCACCATCCTAACAGATAAGAGTGGCTCATGGTGCCTAAACTGTCTGTATAAACAGCATGGTTTACACCAAACACCTACTTTCCTTCTGGGAGCCTGGGGTTTGGGTAAGGGCCGGGCAGAAGATGCCTTGGTGTCCACACCTCAACAACAGCTCATTTCAGTCCCTTGTGAACATTTCATACGTTGTCACAAATTGTCTCTGGGCAAACCAGATGTATCCTTTGTGATTCCGTGGAGAGAAAACTCTTGGACACTTAGGCCTGGTTTCCAATGGACTTTGTCCCGTGAGCCTTTTCCCTTTGCATCCTTTTGCTGTAACTAATCATAACTGAATACATAAGCACAACTATAAGTTGAGTAGTGTGGGTACTCCTAGCAAGTCACTAAATCTAGGTATGCGCTTGAGGGCCCCTTGACGCAGTTAGCGACAGGCCTTTTTACATAAATTCTTTACAAAGCAATTGTTCTCTTAAAAAAAATTGACTAGATCCTGGTTGCTATCCAGCAAGGCCTAGATTTCCTGGAGAAGGAGTATCCCTCCCGAGGTCACACAAATGAAGACCTTATAGTTGTTCTCTAAAACCCAGGTATTTGAAATCAACTCACTCGTGTCCTGATATGATCCGTCAGGGCAGTGAGTCACGCAGCTGTTGGTTTCTTCATTCAGGAAGTACCCGTGTTTGCAGGACAGGCACTGGTCACCGTGGCTGCCAAAGCAGGACTCGCAGTTGGGAGCGCACTTCCTGCATCGCTTCTTGTCAGCGTGGTAGTGGCCAGGGGGGCAGCTGGAGACACAGATCCTGTGTGGTGGCACATAAGAAAGGAGGGCAGCGTCACCCCCGACTCAGTCTTCAGCATTCTCTTGGAGGCGCTGAGAAGGTAGCTGTTCTTGGTCTCAGAACCCTTTTTAAAGATGGTATAACACCACAGCCAAGTGGCCAAATTCTGTCGGTTAAAGCTTTTTCCTGTGTACAGTGTTGGCTAAATTAATATATATTTAAATTTATGTTGCTTATGATAAACAAGGAAGTTTTTTTTTTTAAAGTTTAATCGAAGGACACAGCTTTATTTATTCATTTAACAAATATTTACCAAGTATCAATTAAATGGCAGGCATTTTGCTAATAAGTCTAGGAGACAAAAGAGGTGCTGAGTAGCCAAGGGCTTCTTCTGGAAGGAATTTAAATTCCAGCAAGGATGTAAACAGGACTTGGAACATGTCTATGTCTGTCCGGGTGACTGGAGTATGAAGTCACCACAAGCCAGCTCCCTGGAGCGAGTTTTCGACCAAAGGAGGAGGGAGAAGGCGGCAGGGGTGTGAGCCACGGCTGGGCAGCGGGGCTTCTGCTGGGGCGGTCACTGCTCCAGGGCCCTGCCCTTCCTCACGTATCTGCACGGCTCGAGGCAGAAGCCAGGGGCACAGGGTCAGAGTAGGTCAGTCTCAGTGCCCAGAGCAGGGAAGTGAGGAGGAGCAGGGACCAGCATCTTTGCCACATTGAGGCCTGCACCTGGGAGAATGTGGGAAAGCATCCGTTCGGCCCCCACACTGCATTGCCACAAAGGGACAGTGCAGCTGTGCTGTCACACACATCAGCAGGAGGAAAAGAAGGGAGGGGAAGACCAGGCACCTACCTACCAAGTCCCTCCCCACCATCTTTCCAAAGGTGAGACAAGACATTTGCAGGTTTCATAGCACGTGTGTATTATGTTCTGTTAAGGCAGCTTGACTCCTGGCAACCCTATGAGTGATGTCTACAGTGTCCTGTCCTCGGCAGCCCTGTCCAGCTCCTGCGCACTCCTGCCTATGGCTTCCTTTGTGGAGTCAGTCCATCTGACTCCACAAAGTCATCTGGGCTAGGTGGTCTTCCTCTTTTCCTGCTGCCTTCTGTTTTTTTCCCAGCATCACTGTCTTTTCCCAAGAACTATGCCTTCTCACGATGTACCCAAAGCAGGACAGCTGTGCCCCCAGCAATGTTTCAGGCTTAATTTGCTCTAGGACCCACTGTTTGTCTGTTGGGTGGTTCAGGATACCTGCAGAACTCTCCCCTAATACCGTATTTCAAATGAATCAATTATTTTTTTTCGGATGTGTGATTTCTGATGCACATTTTCCTTGCTTTCAAGGCCTGGTAGGGGGTCACCGGAATGCCTGGCCCACAGACCTGGTACATGATGTAGGGGATGTGACTTGGCCTCCCTCTCACCTCGTGTTGTTTTTCAGCTTGTAGTAGTAGTGCAGACAGTCATTGCAGTGGTCCGGTCCCGGCCCATCACAGCCGACCTCGCTGCACTCGGGGTCACAGGGACCTTTTCCAAAAGAAATTAGAACAACACGCAGAAAAAATGATTTTAAGTAGGTTGGCTTTACCTTGAATTTCGAATAAAATAAGACTCTTTTTTTTCTTTTGCAGTGAGAGTTTCTTTGAGATGGAGGAATAATGTTCAGTGTGGCTGTAAGCTCAGAGGTGAACCCCTGAGTTTTGGGGGAAAACCTCAATTACCGAAGGATCAAGAATGTAAATCCTAGTCATGGCCTGGTCCTCAGAGCACATATGGCTACCTTGTGGGAGACAGCAGACATTTCAGAACGCAAATGAACAATGCCACTGTAGTAAATGGGAAAAAACCAACGGCAATTAAACATGCATAACAATAAAAATGTTGAATTTATGGAAAAATGAGAAGTTAAGCTGTTGACAGAAAAGAAATAAAAAGTTATTATTCAATGCTTGGATCAGATTGCCTGTCTCTTCCAAGGTCATTAAAGCCACTGAATACCTCTGAGATACTGTAGCCAGCAAGAAACAGCATTATGGCATCTGGCACAAGCTGATCGGCATCTAGTCTTGGATTACAAAGCAGGTACTTCAGGCACAGATAACAGATTTAAAATTGCATCCTACCCTCAGGCCAACAGGCAACTCAACAAAAGAACACTACACATAAATTTCAAAATGCGATCAAGCTTAAAGTATTCCAGACCTAGGATGAAGGTTCCTAGTCTCTCTTGTTACATATTCTTTGGTATAGAACTAGAGAGAATGCATAGTGAGAAAACAATTCCAGAAAGATGGAACTATCTGGTGATTGATGAAAAGCTGTCTAATGACAGGAGAGTTATAGACATTTTGCTCTATTGAACTAACTCCCTTTTTCCTTCTTCCTTGTTCTTTATATTTTGGGACATTTAGCTTCATAATCCTTAAGCTCTTTCCTACAGAAAATTCATATGATTTTTAACTAGCAATAAACATATTGCATGCAATGTACAAAACAGTGTCTGTGGTGTAAGAAATGTTTCAAACATACTTATTTTAATCAAAAGGACTTACTGTTGAAACTCGGTCTCCTTTAGCCAGTATGGGGCTATGTTCTACAGTTACTGAGTCATGAGAACATGAAATGGTAGAATGGGGGCGGGGGGGAATGGCTCAGTGAAAAATCTAGTAGTCAACACCCTCATTTTACAGGTGAGAAAATAGATTTCCCAAGAGTTACAATGGTCTACCCAGCATCATACAGCTAGAAGAGGTGGGATCAACATTCATCCTGATTTTTAGTCCAGGTCTCTTACTTAGAGAAAATCATATACTAGAGATGAGTCATTTTGAAATGCTGTAAACTTGAGATATATTTCTGATTAATTGCAAGAGTCATTTTACAGCATTGTTTATCTCTATTTTTCCAAAAGCCTTAAAATGGATCTCTTAACTGAATTCCATAGCTAGCACAATAGGGACAGTTTAGCTGCCTACTATGGTAACAAGGAGAGAGTGTCTCTGCTGTGTTAGGGGCTGAAATTCAGCCAGCTCTGGGTCCTACAGTCCCTGGAATTCAATAGAACAGTACAGGGACCTGGTTATGGTAATACCGTCTGTGCCTTAGACAGCCTGGTCTCTTTACAAGGGCAAACATCTCAGCTCTAAAGAAGAGGATCATGAGTGACCCTAAATTTTCACCAGGCAATTTTGACAATTACCAACCCCCCCGCACCCCCCTCCAAAATTTATTCTTCATATGTGCTAAAGGGCTCTGTATAGTAAGTTCACATGCTGTGCTGTTTCTTTTAGAGTTTTAAACTGTCCCAGATGCACATTAGCATTTTAGTTGCAGGGTAATAATAATTGTGTTTGTTCTCTCAATAAGTACCAATGTGGACATTTTGAAGATGTAGTGACAAAAACCACAGAGATGTGTAACTGTTCAGAATTTTAACATTACTAAAATTTGAACTGGAAACATACCATAAAGCACACAGTAATAGGTTACTATATGCTCCATTTATGTTTTTGGATATACTTGCTCCTATCAGAGAGGAGAAAATGATTTGCTAGTTCTAATATGAATAGTAATGTTACATGCTGTAAGCAAATTAAGACGAAATCTGACACAGTCTAGCTCTGGTCAGTTCCATTGCACTGAACTAGCTGAGCTTATTGGTTCTGGGACACTACCTGTTTAAAACAGAAGGAACTGCATACATATTTAAGATACTCTGTTAAGGCGATTAACAAAGTACATTTATCTTTAGTATCTACAAAAAGAATTTCAGAGAGCTGCAGGAAAAAGTATATCTCTCCTCAAAAGGTACATTAAACTGCTGTTTACAGCAGTGCTGCATTAGAAGCAGCTTTGTTCATTAAGTGTTATATGTCATATCCCAGAAGGACTGAACGCTCCTGGAATAGTAGCCAACGCAACGAGAGAGGAATCAGAACGATATGAGGAAGGAGAAAAAAAAATTGCAGGTGATATGGCTGGCTACAGCACCTACACTGTCCCAGAAAATCAACTCAAACTTATAAATCAGTAAGAGAGTTAAGCAAAATAGTCATATAATATAAATATGCACCAGCCAATAGATTTCCTAGATATCAGCATATACTAGGTAAAAATATGGAATATTTTCCACTACAATAACAACAGACCTAAAGTAGGAATAATACTAATAAGAATAACACTATGTAAAATTGAAAGATTTCATTAAAATAGAATATGGTCTATGTCTTAGATGAAAAGATTATATATTGTAATTCTTCCATTACATCGCATATAAATTCAAATTAAATTCCAATGGGACTTTTAAAGGGGAACTTAAGAATTTCTATGAAAACAAGAAGCAGATGTTCAACAGATATTAAATATATATCATGAAATTAAATAAAACCAGTGTGGGTGCTAACTGGTCTATGAATTATTAATTGATAAATCAGAAAATGTGGTACCAGAAAAGACCCTGGTATAAGAACTTAACTATATTGTTATAAAGGAAATATCCTAAACTATTAAAAAAGGAAGGTAGCTTAGCCAATGATGTTAGTCTGTGTACAAAACACAGAACTTCGTTTTATACTATATATCATAAACCAAAGTTCTAGATGAAGTAATGGCTGAATGTAAAAATCACAGATTACAAAAAATGCATGTGAGTATTTAGTTGATTTTACAGGATAAAGCTTCTGTTAAAAAATCACAAATGTTACTACCTGAAAATATAAGCCCTACCGTCCAATTTTCTTTTTTCTGTTAGAACACAAAACAAAAACCAAATTTCAGAAATAAGTGATAACTAAGAAAATGTTTTCAGCAGATATGAGGCAGTATGGGAGGCAATAACATACATGGAGTCCTTATAAATAGATAAGAAAATTGCTGCCAATTAGAATAGGTAAAGACAGTTGTTTTTAATAGATAAGAACTAGATTCTTGGGACTGCAGCAAAATGATGAATAAGAAAACCAGTTTTATTATAGTCTAGTCGCTATCAGCAAGAGTTAAGTTCCTAGAGCATCTCATCAGTACTCTATAACGAATAAAGTGACATTATTTGAGGACTTCCTGTACATATTAAAAAGTTTGGATATACTAGCAAAGCTATAATATATGGAAATATTTTTTTCTTAACTTTTATTTTTTCTTTCTACTCAGTGCTGGTAGGAACGAGTGCCTTAAACACTCACACAGCTGGTTACAGTGTAGACTGCTACGTCTTTGTCTGGAAAGAAATAAGTTTGTGACAAAACTTATCCAAGCCCTAAGACTGATTAATGCCTTTGATGTAGTAATTCTCAGAACTCTAGTCTAAAAAAACTAATTAAAAAATATCAACAAAGACTGATAAATAATGATAGTCATACAAACCTTCTTTAAACTCATGTAAAACTCTAAGCAAACTACACATCCCGGGTTATGGATTAAATATTACAGTACAATCATAGGACAATTATGTTGTCTTTTAAATGTGTCCTAATGATATCTGACAACAGGGAAATATGATCTTAATATTTTAAGGACAAAGAAGGATATGCAAACTATATACAGTGTGGTTTAGCTTTGAAGAGAAAACATGGATATTTGAATATATGAATATACATTTACAAATATTTGGAGGGAGAGAAAAGATGAAGAAAATGTGTGAGAATATGGGTAGAAGTTTATCTCTGCATGGTGGGATGATGCATGAATGTTCCCTCCTCAGTCGCTGTCCCTGTTGGAAGCTGGCTCACCTGCATAGTCCTCTGTGCCATAGTCATCGGTGGGGTCTTCAACTCGGCTGTAGCGGACACGCTCCATTTTGGGAAACTCATTGGTTGGTGAGTAGGGCTGCTCGGAGGTGCCGTACAGTACCAAAGACCATTCTTTCAATTTACCTGGGGAAGCAATAATGAAACCGCGGCATGACCAAATATTCACTCTTTAGCCTTATAATTTCTTTACTTCCTTTTCCCCTGAGAAGAAGCTTCAGTAGAAGAATTGTGGGAAACAGATTCATATGACTCATTACATCAGATACAGGGCTAGAAATACATATTTCCCACTGTTGGCAGAATTTTTTATTGAAAAATTTATATACTATATATTTACTGAGCATCAACTACAGGCTAGCCCTTGATTTAATCAGCCTTTATAGGGAGACTAAGAAACAAACACACCTTAGACTACTGGGCTGAATTTCAAATTATGGATATTTAAAAAAATCCCAGAATTTTATCAAGAGCTTTGTTTTTCTAGTTATCAAAAGTCTTATTTGAATTAAACAATTTTTTTGGTATTATCTATCAATAAAAAGAAAAGAAAAACTACTGGTACTTCATTCCATGGTTTCTGAAGCAGTCACTCAATCTTGATAATACATTACATTATCCTACAGACATGTGCTATTCAATGATAGCCACTAGATACTGTGGCTATTTAAATTTAAATTAGCTCAAATTAAAATATTCAGTTCCTCAGTCACATTAACTGCATTTCAAGTGCTCAACAGCCATATGTAGCTAGTGGCCACTATAATGCACAGCACAGGTATAGAACACTTTCAACACTGCAGAATGTTCTGCTGAACAGTTGCAATACAGCAGTTTCTAGTCAAGGGTGCCTTGACACATGATGCAAGTGTTTAACCTCATTTGGATGGTATGATCACAAGGAACATTTTGCTTTAGTTTAGTCCATGCTTATTCATTTGTTTTTCAGATTTATGAAATTAACGTCTTTAATGTAAAAAAAAAAAGAAACCCAAAACAAAACCCAAGCTTAGCCCCAGGCTATTAAGCTTAATAAGATTCATGTAATAAACAATCAACCATAAGCAAAAGTTATTAATTAAAAACACGGAAATATGCAGATAGAAAGGACTCCCCTTAGGCCCCGCCCCGTCACAGTAGCCTAATACGGAGAATCCGGGTGTGGCTCAGTGCCCGGGCTCACCTGATTCAGCTCTCATCATTTGTATCACCGTCTAATTGATGCTTACCATTTCTAAGTGCTTACTGTGTGCTAAGTTTGATCCCATTGCTGACAACAACTGGGATGTAGGTACTTGTATTCCCAATGTAGTTGATATAAAGAATGATGAGGAAACAGGGGCAAAGGAGTTGATAACTTTCCCAAGGGCAGTAAGAGGAGAGACTGACATTAAAACCCATTGGGGCGCTCCAGTTTAAAATGGCGATGTAGGAAGATCCTGACCTATCTTCTCCCACAGACACACCAAACTGACAGCTATATATAGAGCAATTTCCTCTGAAACCTCAAAACTAGCCGAGTGGTTCCTACACATTGGGCAAACAAGAAAAAACCCATATCCAAATGGGTAGGAGAGGCTGAGACACATTCTCACCATAAACCTCACCCCTGGTGTGGTGAGAAATTCTGTAGGGAACTCAAAACCCCAGACTTCTCCCTAAGGAACAAAAGGTTTAAATCCAACATTGGGTATCCCACCTTTTAAGACCAGCCCCTGAGAGACGAGCCCCACAAAACATCTGGCTTTGAAAGTGAATGGGCTCCTGTACACGAGTCCCACAAGGTGACAGCAAACCAAGAGGCAGTTCTTAAAGGGGTCCAGCTGACTCACCCATGCCAGGGCCTACCACAGAGGCAGCCGACTGGAAAGCACCTAGACTTTGTGAAATAGAGAGCTTATCTTAAAGCATTCTCCTGAGGAGCAGGCATCTAACTTAACACGCCGCTAGAGGCCTCCCAAAATAATCTCCAAAACTGGAGGCCAGCAGGAGCCACCTTTGTACTCTCCCTCCGCCTCTCTCAAGCTCACTGGGAGCTTCAGGAAAGGTGCTTGTACTCTTGTCTGGCACTGCACTTTTTGTGGCTTACACCCAGGGGACACCTCCAGATTGCCTGGCTCTAGTGGCCAGCAGGGCTTATACTTGCAGGTCCCTTAGAACTGTAAACAAAATTGAGAATCCTTTTGTTAGACTCACCAAGGAGAAATGAGAGAGAAATCAAGTAAATAAAATAAGAAATCAAAGAGGAAATGTTATAACAGATACCAAAAAAATTGCAAAGGCTCATAAAAGACTACTATGAACAACTATCTGCCAACACATTAGATAAGATAAAAGAAATGGATACATTCCTAGAAACAGACACCATGCAAAGAGTGAATCATTAAGAAATAGAATTTCTGACTGACCAGTTACTGGTGAAGAGATTGAATCAGCAATCAAAAACCTCCCAACACACAAAAGTCCAGGACCAAATGGCTTCACTGGTGAATTCTATCAAACATTTAAAGAAAAATTAATACCACTCCTTTGTAAACACTTCCCCCAAAATAGGAAAGGCAGGAACACCTCAAAGCTCATTTTGGAACATTCTGATACCAGAATCAGACAAGGACAACACAAGAAAAGATTACATGCCAATATTCCTGATAAACATAGATGCAAAATCCTCTACAAAAGTATTTGTAAACCAAATTCAACAACATATTAAAAAGATCATACATCATGATCAAGTGGGATTTATTCCAGGGATGCCAGGATGGTTCAAAATTGGAAAAATCAATCAATGTCATCTACCACCTTAACAAAATGAAGAAAAAAAATCATGATTACTTCAATAGATGCAGAAAAAACATTTGACAAAATTTAACATCCACTTTTAATGAAAACTCTCAATAAAGTAGATATAGAGGGAATGTACCTCAACATAATAAGGGCTATATGACAGCTAACAACATACTCAATGGTAAAAAACTAAAAGCTTTTCCTCTGAGATTAGGAACAGAACAAGAATGTCCACAATTCCAACTTTTAGTCAACATAGAAATGGAAATCCTAGCCAGAGCAATTAGTCAAGAAAAAGAAACAAAAGACATCCAACTCAAAAAGGAAGAAGTAAAACTGTCACTATTTGCAGATGTCATGATATATACAGGGGTGGGCAAAAGTAGGTTTACAGCTGTGAATATGTGAAACACGGAGTTTATTTATTTATTTTTAAAGTCCTCACCAGAGGATATGCGTATTGATTTTATGGGAGGGAGAGAGAGAAGGGGAGAGAAACCTCAAAGTGAGAGAGAAACATCCATTGGTTGCCTCTTGTACGTGCCCTGACCCGAGACCAAACTCACAATCTAGGCATGTGCCCTGACTGGGAATTGAACCCTTGCCCTCCTGATTTACAGGATGATGTTCCAACCAACTGAGCCATGCCAACAGGGCTAGAGTTTTATTATTTATTTAGGGTATTTATTTATTATTTATTATTATTTAGGGTATTATTATTTATTAATTACTGCATTGTTTTCCATATAAACTGTAAACCTACTTTTCCCCACGCATGAATATAAAACCCTGAAGACTCCACCAAAAATCTTTTAGAACTAATCAACAAATACAGTAAAGCTGCATGATACAAAATGAACACATGAAAAATCTGTTGCTGAGTTAGCTAACTTGCCCAGACTCCCTAGTGACTCTGTGTGCTCATCTCCCAGCCTCTGTTTCCTTCACTCACAGTGGCTCTCAGAGAGTGGCACTAGGAGGTACTGCTTGGTTTCCATGATGGTACTCACGGTTAATAAGCTGCTCAGTCTTGCTACAGAAGTAACTAGATTGGCAGATAGGTGGGTAGGTAGAAGATAGATGTAGATGTAGATATATAGATGATATACAAGGGATTGTCCATCCAGCCATGCAAAGTGGCAGGACCCCTCCCCTCACCCCAAGTTTGGAGAGAGAGATTTGCCCTGGTTTTTTAGTAGACTGACTGACTGATGCACTCTCCCCTTGTGCAGAGCTAATGATGGATGTGGTTTTCACGAAAGTGGTCTGCATGACTCTTAATACGATTGAGCCTTTACCTGAAGGCCCTTTTAATCTGAAAAATCACTTAAACCCCCAAAAAGAGGGCAGCAGAGAGATGAGCAACAATTCTGTTGCTAACATATGTTGTCACTAAGCAACAGTGAAATGCAAATCAAAACCACAATGTGGTATCACCCCACCTCTGTTAGAATGACTTATCAAAAAGATAAGAAATTGCACGTATTGGCAAAGATGTGGGGAAAAAGGGTCCCCTTGTGCACTGTTGGTTGGAATGTAAATTGGTGCAACCACTATGGAAAACAGTGTGAAGGTGCCTAAAAATTAAAAATAGAACTACTTTGTGGTCCGGCAATTCCACTTTTGGGTATTTATCCAAAGAAAATTAAAACACTAAATCAAACACTCTCATGTTCATTGCATTATTATTTACAATCGCCAAGACATGGACGCAACCTACATTTCCACTGATGTATGAATAGATAATTAAACTGTGGGGGAGGGGTGTGTGTGTGTGTGTAAAATATATAGTGGAGTATTTTCAGCCACAAAAAGGAAATCTTGCCACTTGTGACAACAAGGATGGACTTTGAGGGCATTCTGCTAAGTGAAATAAGTCAGAGAAATACAAATACCAAATGATCTCACTTATATGTGGAATCTTTAAAAAAAAACCCCCAAAACCAACACATACATAAGAAGCAAGCTCACAGACACGGAGTACACAGGTTGTTGGTTGTCAGAAGCAGGGAATTGGGGGTGGGTGAGATGGGTGAAGGAGGTTGAAAGGCACAAGCATCCAGTTACACTAAGTCATGGAGACTTACTTATACATTACTTACAATAAGTAATGTATAGCCTGGTGATTATGTTAATAATACTGTATTGCATATTCTAAAGTTGCTAAAAGAATATATTTTAAAAGTTCTTATCACATGAAAAACTTTTTTTTACCTGTGAGATAATGGATGTTAACTAGATTTATTGTACTGATTGTTTTACAACAGAAACAAATCTTGAATCATTATGTTGTTCATCTGAAACTAATGTTATATGCGAATTATATCTCAATTAAAAATATG